CCGTTGGAGAGGACACGGTCATCACCCCGAAACAAGCATGAGAAGATCAGCAAAATAGGGAAGTGAAATCAAAAGGTGAAAACAAAGTGCTGCAATGAGTCCTGAAAAAAATGCATCTTTCGAACCTATGCAGGTGGATCCTGAGAGATGCGTGGATGTAGTGGATGTAATGAGTCCTGACGACAATTCCTTTTCGACCCCATGCAGTTGGATCCTGCGAGATGGCTGGATGTACTGAGCCCTGACGCCAATTCTTTTCGACCCCATGCAGGTTGATAATGAGAAATGGCTGCTGGAGTGGCTGGATAATCAAAGTATTGAGTACTTCTGTTAAAGTCCTGGAATGTGCACGTTTGTGTCTCTGTTAGATCAATTTATTAGGTGCAATTGATTATATCAGTGATTTCCAGCACTACTCCAAGCTAGTGTAATTACTTTAACAAAACCGTTTGATTGCTCTGGTGTTGGAAGCATTTTCACGGTCAGCAACACTTCACAGGCATCATCAAACAAAGAGTAAAAATGTTGTCATGAGTCCTAAACGAAATTCCTCTTTCGACCCCATGCAGTTGCATCCTGAGAGATGGACTTCAAGCTAGAGTGATGTTGTGAATGCTCTATAATGTGTTCAGATGAATGTCTTCCTTTTAAGTTCCAGAAGTGTTCACTGATTTCAGAATGACAACAATTTTATACTTTGGACGAATGGCTTCAGTCGAAAAGGACGTCAAAGGGGAAATCGACGTTTACGTGTTTGATTTTAAGAATATCTTTTAACTGTTGAATTCCTATTGGGAAATAATTTGCCTAGTTCCTTTCCTGTTTGAGCCTGCGTATTAATAAAGATTTCGATACGAGTATTAACGTGAGTTTTCTTGCAGATTAATAAAGACCTGATTTGTTTTTAAAGATGACTAATCGTACGTTATTGCTACCATAGTTTTCCTTTAAAAAAACACGGACGAGTAGACATACACACACGAGTGTGCATCCAAACACGACTGTATATACAGCGTTGTGCATTCACACACGAGTGTGCATGTGTTTCTACGAGTTTTAACGTTAATATACTTGCAGAACAATAAAGACCTGCTATGTTAAAGATGACTGATCGTCCCTTATTGCTACAATGTTCATAGCGAACACGTGTGGAGGCGAGTTTCAGGTGAAGCATCTCCATCACACAAGTTTACCCTTACCTGGCAGCATCGTGGCAGTCCGCTGGTCACACTCACTACGTCACACTCATGACGTCACACTCATGACGTCACACTCACGAGCTGTAGGGGCGGGGCTCTGTCTGCTCAGTGGCGCTGTTTTCATTCATTTAGCACCACGAGCGGGGAGTCTCATTCCTATCACATTGCCCCTAAATTCTTTGTACGACACAATATAAAAATAATTTGTTTGTTCCAATGCATAATCATACACGAGTACACATATACACTCCCATGTACACAGACCCACACACGAGTGGACATACACAGCGCTGTAGATACATACACACACGGGTGCACATGCATACAAGTGCGCATGCACACACGAGTGTACATACACAGCAGTGTACGTACAAAGGGATTGCGTTCTACTACACGAACAAATGTGCGAACAAATGATTGTACATACCTATACACACCATTCACGCATGTACATATCCACATCAACGAGTGTAAATAAACACACGAGTGGACATACACAGAAGTACAGATCCATGTACATACAAACAGTAGTATACTTGGATAGCGGGGTTTTGTGATTATTTTCACAGGTTAAGCTGACGATATGGATTTTAGATGCCCCACAACAATTATTAACAATATTAGGAATATTGGCCTCATATTTAATGAGTGTATTGAAGTCATAGGTTGCCATTGCTACGGCACACTGGTTCGGATTATTCTTCCCATTTATGAAATCTCGCTAGAATCATTTGCATTTTATTCATGAACTTATTTGCATTCAATTGCTATTCACGGTACTAAAGCTCCTCATATCTAGCAACATACCTAAGCTTTGTGCTTAAGCCTATGTAGGAATATGCTGAATCATCGTTCGCTTCCGTTTGAATACGGATGGGCATCTCCTTGAATAATTATGTGCATGTTGTTAGTTTGCACATTTACAATGGCCTGTAAGCTGTAATCAATTTATCGGCTTTATCTGTGAAAATAAGTATAAAATGTTGCAATGCTGATAGAGATATACTAAGAGGTGCATGCTTTATTGCGTGGTGACTAGGTTTCATGGATATTTTTGAGGACTCTTGTTGATGAAGGTGTGTCTAGACAACGAAGGTTATTTGTTATATTCGATCAGTTAAAAAGTGTTACCATTGCTGTTTTTTTACCCATCTGGATGGTTAATTTTTTTATCGTTGTTTGTTATTTTGTAACGCAACCATTATTACATTTCAGTCTATAGCATAAAGTGTCTTGTGTATTTTCACTGCTGTGCATTAACAGTGCTGTGTGTATGTATGCGTGTATATATTTTGCACGTGTTTTCATGGTAAATGCATTGCATGTGGAGAAGTTACCAGCCCTTCGCACCTGTCCAGAGACCTCGTGGGCCGCTGTGGTGGCTACGAGCCTTCCCTCCAGGACATTGCTCACATCCACCACAGCGTTACCGTCCGGCATCGCCGATGAGGTAGGGGGGTTGTTTTTACAGAACTTTACTCATGTGTAGGGGAATCCCAAACAACAGGGAGAGCAGCTCTTCTTCTGAACAAATTAATGAAGGAGCATAGAACCGTCACGGTGAGCTGTGGGAAGCTGTATGCCCCAGGCATGGAGTGGTGGTTGTTCCTTCCTGCACTGAAGGTGAACATCAGTGTAGAAATGCAGGCAAGGCTGATTAGTCATATGCCTTTCATAATATCCAGTATTTGAATCACACTGGGCTCGAATGCATACATTTTGTATGTAGCTATATTGGTACCAGATATGCGAGCTGCGGGATTTAAATTGCATTATAATCACTAGTATCACATTGTGGTCGTATTAGAATCACACTATCCACTGCTGTATCTGCCCTCTCAATGGATTCGTATATACATATGTACAGAGTATGATTATTTGAAGTTTATGTATTGATTCTTTAAATGTTGATTTCCTGAAAGCTTCCGCGGTGCCGGCCGGTAACGCTGCGGTGGATGTGAGCAATGTCCTGGAGGGAAGTCTCGTAGCCACCACAGAGGCCCACGAGGTCTCTGGACGGGTGCGAGGCGCTGGTAACCTCTCCATAGTCAATGCAATTATCATAAAAAAAAAATATTAAACACATACACACGAGTTTAACACGTAGGATTTCGGGACCAATATCATCCATAATAGAGGTTGTTAGGTTAGATCGCTGAAGTATATAAATGTGTCTTTAAAATAAAAACATTAAATAAATGCATGCCGACAAATGGCAGCATACTTCAATAGAGCGCAGCTGCGTGGACAACACATCTATGCTTCTATATAAGCAACTAAACAGTGAGACTTCCCAAATCTGATTACTTCAGACCGCATTTCCCTGGTAACGGCTTTGAACTGGAAGCAGTTTGCAGCACATTGCAGGGTGAATATTAGCAAATTATTTTAATAAACACAATAGACAGGAAGGACAAGTTTTAAAGGGCTCGCATAATGCACACGCGTAATGTGCATTGCCTCAATAATCCCACCCCCCCCCCCACATTGTGCAAGAGCGCAGCTGCGTGGTCAACATATCAATGCTTCTATGTAAGGAACGCAACAGTGAGACTTCCCAAATCTGGCTGTCGACTGATGAAGCTAGTTTTAATTGCAGGCGAAACGTCGTACTCAGATTGTAAATGTTGTGACTTGGCTCTCCAACACACCGGTGTGCTGTGCTAGTGACACATTTGCATGTTCTGTTTACGTGACAATCCTTACTAGTTGGCTGTGTCGGGTGGTGGCGGGTTTCAACGAAACATTTATATATTTAGGCAATCTTTCAGATGATCATTCAAAGTTCATGGCAGAAATTATAATATAAAACACTCGTTTTCTAGAAGCACCCCGCTCAACACGATTGTCCTTAAATATATTTATAAAACAAAGTCAGTACAGTATAAACTTGCACATCTTATTCTAAATCAATCTCGAGATCACCAATTTTTGATATTTCAGACTGTATGTCGCTTTATAATCCTCTAAACTTGCAGCAGTTTAGAGGACATTGGGGGTGAATATTAGCAAATTAACACGAATCACGGAATTATGCATGGAGATGCACATCCTTATTCAAACGGAAGTACAATTATGCAGTGAGATGTACATACGTATTATGTTGCTAGATATGCGGATTGTTAATGCAAAAAATTACAATTGAATGCAAAGTCCATGAAGACCAAGTTCGAGAACAAAAGATTTGGATGCTAGAGCGAAGTTATAAGGGGCTTAAAATCAGACCTCAAGGTCATTTCGAGAGGGATTTTGCTGAGGATAGACGCTCGACTCCCCGCTCTGCAGATAACCCTTCTTCCACGAGACCCAGCCTGGCGAGCACGATTGCTTGGCGACTGGTTGGCGACTTCGCTTCGGGAGAGTTCGTGGCGATCTCTTCAGACGGGTTACAGGGACATCGATATGCGGTGCATCAACAAGTAAGTGTCTTTGTTAGTGGATAAACTGGTAAACGCGTGTGTAGTCCGACTTAGGAGACGTTACTGTGTCTCAGTTAGACGTTGGTAAGAGTTTGCTTCTTGGCGATTTAAGCCAGACATCCACGCACCTTAGAGGTCGCCTTTAACTCTCAACAACACCCGCGACTGTTACTCTGCTCTGAAGAATCAGTCACATGGAGCGGAAAAACTCTCCACAGCGGCACGCACACACGGGCGAGAAGCGGTTCAATTGCTCTCTTTGTGGGAAGGCATTTGCAGATTCATCAAATCGTAACCGTCACCAGAAAACACACACGGGCGAAAAGCCATTCAATTGCTCTGTTTGTGAGAAGTCATTTTCACAGAAATCAAATCTTCACACTCACCAAAAAACAACTCGGGTGAGAAGCCATTCGATTGCTCTGTGTGTGGGAAGGCATTTTCACTGAAACAAATCTTCACACTCACCAGAAAACACACTCAGGTGAGAAGCCATTCAGTTGCTCTGTGTGTGGGAAGGCATTTTCACAGAAATCAACTCTTCACAGTCACCAAAAAACACACACGGGTGAGAAGCCATTCCATTGCGCTGTGTGTGGGAAGTCATTTTCACAGAAATCAAATCTTCACACTCACCAGAAAACACACACGGGTGAGAAGCCATTCAATTGTTCTGTGTGTGGGAAGGCATTTTCACAGAAATCAACTCTTAACAATCACCAGAAAACACACACGGACGAGAAGCTATTCAATTGTTCTCCGTTGGAGAGGACACGGTCATCACCCCGAAACAAGCATGAGAAGATCAGCAAAAATAGGGAAGTGAAATCAAAAAGTGAAAAACAAAGTGCTGCAATGAGTCCTGAAAAAAATGCATCTATCGAACCTATGCAGGAGGATCCTGAGAGATGCGTGGATGTAGTGGATGTAATGAGTCCTGACGACAATTCCTTTTTCGACCCCATGCAGTTGGATCCTGCGAGATGGCTGGATGTACTGAGCCCTGACGCCAATTCTTTTTTCGACCCCATGCAGGTTGATAATGAGAAATGGCTGCTGGAGTGGCTGGATAATCAAAGTATTGAGTACTTCTGTTAAAGTCCTGGAATGTGCACGTTTGTGTCTCTGTTAGATCAATGTATTAGGTGCAATTGATTATATCAGTGATTTCCAGCACTACTCCAAGCTAGTGTAATTATTTTAACAAAACTGTTTGATTGCTCTGAGTGTTGGAAGCATTTTCACGGTCAGCAACACTTCACAGGCATCATCAAACAAAGAGTAAAAATGTTGTCATGAGTCCTAAACGAAATTCCTCTTTCGACCCCATGCAGTTGCATCCTGAGAGAGCTAGAGTGATGTTGTGAATGCTCTATAATGTGTTCAGATGAATGTTTCCTTTTAAGTTCCAGAAGTATTCACTGATTTCAGAATGACAACAATTTTATACTTTGGACGAATGGCTTCAGTCGAAAAGGACGTCAAAGGGGAAATCGACGTTTACGTGTTTGATTTTAAGAATATCTTTTAACTGTTGAATTCCTATTGGAAATAATTTGCCTAGTTCCTTTCCTGTTTGAGCCTGCGTATTAATAAAGATTTCGATACGAGTATTAACGTGAGTTTTCTTGCATATTAATAAAGACCTGATTTGTTTTTAAAGATGACTGATCGTACGTTATTGCAACCATATTTTCCTTTAAAAAAACACGGACGAGGAGACATACACACACGAGTGTGCATCCAAACACGACTGTATATACAGCGGTGTGCATTCACACACGAGTGTGCATGTGTTTCTACGAGTTTTAACGTTAATATACTTGCAGAACAATAAAGACCTGCTATGTTAAAGATGACTGATCGTCCCTTATTGCTACAATGTTCATAGCGAACACGTGTGGAGGCGAGTTTCAGGTGAAGCATCTCCATCACACAAGTTTACCCTTACCTGGGCAGCATCGTGGCAGTCCGCTGGTCACACTCACTACGTCACACTCACGAGCTGTAGGGGCGGGGCTCTGTCTGCTCAGTGGCGCTGTTTTCATTCATTTAGCACCACGAGCGGGGAGTCTCATTCCTATCACATTGCCGCTAAATTCTTTGTACGACACAATATAAAAATAATTTGTTCGTTCGAATATGCACAATCATACACGAGTACACATATACACTCCATATACACAGACCCACACACGAGTGGACATACACAGCGCTGTAGAAACATACACGAATGTGCATACACACTGCTTCATACATACACACACGGGTGCACATGCATACAAGTGCGCATGCACACACGAGTGTACATACACAGCAGTGTACGTACAAAGGGATTACGTTCTACTACACGAACAAATGTGCGAACAAATGATTGTACATACCTATACACCCAAATTCACGCATGTACATATCCACATCAACGAGTGTAAATAAACACACGAGTGGACATACACAGAAGTACAGATCCATGTACATACAAACAGTAGTATACTTGGATAGCGGGGTTTTGTGATTATTTTCACAGGTTAAGCTGACGATATGGATTTTAGATGCCCCACAACAATTATTAACAATTTTTTTTACATTTAAAGCTTTCGTGACTGCAGGGATTCATCTTCTTGGTTCTTTCGGTAAAGTCACGTGACTTTACCGAAAGAACCAAGAAGATGAATTATTAACAATATTAGGAATATTGGCCTCATATTTAATGAGTGTATTGAAGTCATAGGTTGCCATTGCTACGGCACACTGGTTCGGATTATTCTTCCCATTTATGAAATCTCGCTAGAATCATTTGCATTTTATTCATGAACTTATTTGCATTCAATTGCTATTCACGGTACTAAAGCTCCTCATATCTAGCAACATACCTAAGCTTTGTGCTTAAGCCTAAGTAGGAATATGCTGAATCATCGTTCGCTTCCGTTTGAATACGGATGGGCATCTCCTTGAATAATTATGTGCATGTTGTTAGTTTGCACATTTACAATGGCCTGTAAGCTGTAATCAATTTATCGGCTTTATCTGTGAAAATAAGTATAAAATGTTGCAATGCTGATAGAGATATACTAAGAGGTGCATGCTTTATTGCGTGGTGACTAGGTTTCATGGATATTTTTGAGGACTCTTGTTGATGAAGGTGTGTCTAGACAACGAAGGTTATTTGTTATATTCGATCAGTTAAAAAGTGTTACCATTGCTGTTTTTTTACCCATCTGGATGGTTAATTTTTTTATCGTTGTTTGTTATTTTGTAACGCAACCATTATTACATTTCAGTCTATAGCATAAAGTGTCTTGTGTATTTTCACTGCTGTGCATTAACAGTGCTGTGTGTATGTATGCGTGTATATATTTTGCACGTGTTTTCATGGTAAATGCATTGCATGTGGAGAAGTTACCAGCCCTTCGCACCTGTCCAGAGACCTCGTGGGCCGCTGTGGTGGCTACGAGCCTTCCCTCCAGGACATTGCTCACATCCACCACAGCGTTACCGTCCGGCATCGCCGATGAGGTAGGGGGGTTGTTTTTACAGAACTTTACTCGTGTGTAGGGGAATCCCAAACAACAGGGAGAGCAGCTCTTCTTCTGAACAAATTAATGAAGGAGCATAGAACCGTCACGGTGAGCTGTGGGAAGCTGTATGCCCCAGGCATGGAGTGGTGGTTGTTCCTTCCTGCACTGAAGGTGAACATCAGTGTAGAAATGCAGGCAAGGCTGATTAGTCATATGCCTTTCATAATATCCAGTATTTGAATCACACTGGGCTCGAATGCATACATTTTGTATGTAGCTATAATGGTACCAGATATGCGAGCTGCGGGATTTAAATTGCATTATAATCACTAGTATCACATTGTGGTCGTATTAGAATCACACTATCCACTGCTGTATCTGCCCTCTCAATGGATTCGTATATACATATGTACAGAGTATGATTATTTGAAGTTTATGTATTGATTCTTTAAATGTTGATTTCCTGAAAGCTTCCGCGGTGCCGGCCGGTAACGCTGCGGTGGATGTGAGCAATGTCCTGGAGGGAAGTCTCGTAGCCACCACAGAGGCCCACGAGGTCTCTGGACGGGTGCGAGGCGCTGGTAACCTCTCCATAGTCAATGCAATTATCATTAAAAAAAAAATATTAAACACATACACACGAGTTTAACACGTAGGATTTCGGGACCAATATCATCCATAATAGAGGTTGTTAGGTTAGATCGCTGAAGTATATAAATGTGTCTTTAAAATAAAACATTAAATAAATGCATGCCGACAAATGGCAGCATACTTCAATAGAGCGCAGCTGCGTGGACAACACATCTATGCTTCTATATAAGCAACTAAACAGTGAGACTTCCCAAATCTGATTGTCGACTGATGAAGCTAGTTTGAATTACAGGCGAAACGTCGTACTCAGAATGTAAATGTTGTGGCTTGGCTCTCCAACACACCGGTGTGCTGTACTAGTGACACATTTGCATGTTCTGTTTACGTGACAACCCTAACTAGTTGGCTTTGTCGGGTGGTGGCGGGTTTCAACGACACATTTGTATTTTTAAGCGTTCTAACCCAAAAAACCTTTAATGTGGACATGATAATAAACCACGCTTACAAGCTAAACCATTCAGATGATTATTAAAAGTTCATGGCAGAATTTTTAACATAAAACACTCGTTTTCTAGAAGCACCCCGCTCAACACGATTGTCCTTAAATATATTTATAAAACAAAGTCAGTACAGTATAAACTTGCACATCTTATTCCAAATCAAGCTCGAGATCACCAATTTTGATACTTCAGACTGTATGTCACTTTATCATCCTCTAAACTTGCAGCAGTTTAGAGGACATTGGGGGTGAATATTAGCAAATTAACACGAATCATGGAATTATGCATAGAGATGCACATCCGTATTCAAACGGAAGTGTACAATTATTCAGTGATATGTACATACGTATTATGTTGCTAGATATGCGGATTGTTAATGTAAAAATTAACAATTGAATGCAAAGTCCATAATAGGCCAAGTCGAGAACAAAGAATTTGGATGCTAGAGCGGAATTATAAAGGGCTTAAAATCAGACCTCAAGGGCATTTCGAGAGGGATTTTGATGAGCATAGACGCTCGACTCCCCGCTCTGCAGATAACCCTTCTTCCACGAGACCCAGCCTGGCGAGCACGATTGCTTGGCGACTGGTTGGGGACTTTGCTTCGGGAGAGTTCGTGGCGATCTCTTCAGACGGGTTACAGGGACATCGATACGCCGTGCATCAACAAGTAAGTGTCTTTGTTAGTGGATAAACTGGTAATCGCGTGTGTATTCCGACTTCCGAGACGTTACTGTGACTCGGTTAAACGTTAGTGAGAGTTGTTTTTTGGCGATTTGAGCCAGACATCCACGAAGTTTCTCTGCTCTGAAAAATCAGTCACATGGAGCAGAAAAACTCTCCACAGCGGCACGCACACACGGGTAAGAAGCCATTCAATTGCGCTGTGTGCGGGAAGGCATTTGCAGATTCATCAACTCTTCGCAATCACCAAAAACACACTCGGGTGAGAAGCCATTCAATTGCTCTGTTTGTGTGAAGGCATTTGCCCGTAAAGCAGATCTTCACACTCACCAAAAACACACACGGGCGAGAAGCCGTTCAATTGCGCTGTGTGCTGGAAGGCATTTGCACGGAAATCAGATCTTCACAAGCACCAGAAAACACACACGGGCGAGAAGCCGTTCAATTGCTCTGTGTGTGGGAAGTCATTTGCAGATTCATCAACTCATCACAAGCACCAGAAAACACACACGGGCGAGAAGCCGTTCAATTGCTCTGTGTGCGGGAAGTCATTTGCAGATTCATCAACTCTTCGCAATCACCAAAAAACACACTCGGGTGAGAAGCCATTCAATTGCTCTGTTTGTGTGAAGGCATTTGCCCGTAAAGCAGATCTTCACACTCACCAAAAAACACACACGGGCGAGAAGCCGTTCAATTGCTCTCTGTGTGGGAAGCCATTTTCACGGAAATCAAATCTTCATCGTCACCAGGAAACACACACGGACGATAAGCCATTCAATTGTTCTCCGTTGGAGAGGACACGGTCATCACCCCGAAACAAGCATAAGAAGATCCGCAATGATAGGAAAGTGAAATCAAAAGGAGAAATACAGAGTGCTGCAATGAGTCCTGAAAAAAATGCATCTTTCGAACCTATGCAGGTGGATCCTGAGAGATGCATGGATGTAATGAGTCCTGACGACAATTCCTATTTCGACCCCATGCAGTTGGATCCTGCGAGATGGCTGGATGTACTGAGCCCTGACGACAATTCCTATTTCGACCCCATGCAGGTTGATAATGAGAAATGGCTGCTGGAGTGGCTGGATAATCAAAGTACTGAGAACTTCTGTTAAAGTCCTGGAATGTGCACGTTTGTTTCTCTGTTAGATCAATGTATTAGGTGCAATTGATAATATCAGTGATTTCCAGCACTACTCCAACCTAGTGTAATTATTTTAACAAAACCGTTTGATTGCTCTGTGTGTTGGAAGCATTTTCACAGTCAGTAACACTTCACAGGCATCATCAAACAAAGAGTAAAAATGTTGTCATGAGTCCTCAACGAAATTCCTCTTTCGACCCCATGCAGTTGCATCCTGAGATATGGCTTGATGTAGTGGAGTATTCGTGTCTCATATATATTTTTCGGTGATTTCTAGGACTTCAAGCTAGAGTGATGTTGTGAATGCTCTATAATGTGTTCAGATGAATGTCTTCCTTTAAGTTCCAGAAGTGTTCACGGATTTCAGAATGACAACAATTTTATACTTTGGACGAATGGCTTCAGTCGAAAAGGACGTCAAAGGGAAATCGACGTTTACGTGTTTGATTTTAAGAATATATTTTAACTGTTGAATTCCTATTGGGAAATAATTTGCCTAGTTCCTTTCCTGTTTGAGCCTGCGTATTAATAAAGATTTCGATACGATTATACGAGTATTAACGTGAGCTTTCTTGCAGATTAATAAAGACCTGTTTTTAAAGATGACTGATCGTACGTTATTGCTACCATAGTTTTCCTTAAAAAAACACGGACGAGTAGACATACACACACGAGTGTGCATCCAAACACGACTGTATATACAGCGGTGTGCATTCACACACGAGTGTGCATGTGTTTCTACGCTGTTTTCATTCATTTCGCACCACGAGCGGGGAGTCTCATCCCTGTAGTTCCCTGTTGTGGTGGCGCATTCCTACCACGTTGCCCCTCAATTATTACGTTTCCCTTAAATGATTTGTACGACACAATATAAAAATAATTTGTTTGTTCCAATACATAATCATACACGAGTACACATATACACTCCCATGTACACACACCCACACACGAGTGGACATACACAGCAGTGTAAGTACAAAGGGATTGCGTTCGACTACGCGAACAAATGCAGAATTTTTAATATAAAACACTCGTTTTCTAGAAACACCCCGCTCAACACGATTGTACTTAAATATATTTATAAAACAAAGTCAGTACAGTATAAACTTGCACATCTTATTCCAAATCAAGCTCGAGATCACCAATTTTGATACTTCAGACTGTATGTCACTTTATCATCCTCTAAACTTGCAGCAGTTTAGAGGACATTGGGGGTGAATATTAGCAAATTAACACGAATCATGGAATTATGCATAGAGATGCACATCCGTATTCAAACGGAAGTGTACAATTATTCAGTGATATGTACATACGTATTATGTTGCTAGATATGCGGATTGTTAATGTAAAAATTAACAATTGAATGCAAATTCCATAATAGGCCAAGTCGAGAACAAAGAATTTGGATGCTAGAGCGGAATTATAAAGGGCTTAAAATCAGACCTCAAGGGCATTTCGAGAGGGATTTTGATGAGCATAGACGCTCGACTCCCCGCTCTGCAGATAACCCTTCTTCCACGAGACCCAGCCTGGCGAGCACGATTGCTTGGCGACTGGTTGGGGACTTTGCTTCGGGAGAGTTCGTGGCGATCTCTTCAGACGGGTTACAGGGACATCGATACGCCGTGCATCAACAAGTAAGTGTCTTTGTTAGTGGATAAACTGGTAATCGCGTGTGTATTCCGACTTCCGAGACGTTACTGTGACTCGGTTAAACGTTAGTGAGAGTTGTTTTTTGGCGATTTGAGCCAGACATCCACGAACCTTAGAGGTCGCCTTTAACTCTCAACAACACCCGCGACTGTTTCTCTGCTCTGAAAAATCAGTCACATGGAGCAGAAAAACTCTCCACAGCGGCACGCACACACGGGTAAGAAGCCATTCAATTGCGCTGTGTGCGGGAAGGCATTTGCAGATTCATCAACTCTTCGCAATCACCAGAAAACACACACGGGCGAGAAGCCGTTCAATTGCTCTGTTGTGTGAAGTCATTTGCCCGATATCAAAAAAACACACTCGGTGAGAAGCCATTCAATTGCTCTGTTTGTGTGAAGGCATTTGCCCGTAAAGCAGATCTTCACACTCACCAAAAAACACACACGGGCGAGAAGCCGTTCAATTGCGCTGTGTGCTGGAAGGCATTTGCCACGAAATCAAGATCTTCACAAGCACCAGAAAACACACACGGCGAGAAGCCGTTCAATTGCTCTGTGTGTGGGAAGTCATTTGCAGATTCATCAATCATCACAAGCACCAGAAAACACACACGGCGAGAAGCCGTTCAATTGCTCTGTGTGCGGGAAGTCATTTGCAGATTCATCAACTCTTCGCAATCACCAAAAACACACTCGGGTGAGAAGCCATTCAATTGCTCTGTTGTGTGAAGGCATTTTCCCGTAAAGCAGATCTTCACACTCACCAAAACACACACACGGGCGAGAAGCCGTTCAATTGCTGCTGTGTGTGGGAAGTCATTTGCAGATTCATCAACTCATCACAAGCACCAGAAAACACACACGGGCGAGAAGCCGTTCAATTGCTCTGTGTGTGGGAAGTCATTTGCAGATTCATCAACTCTTCGCAATCACCAAAAAACACACTCGGGTGAGAAGCCATTCAATTGCTCTGTTTGTGTGAAGGCATTTGCCCGTAAAGCAGATCTTCACACTCACCAAAAAACACACACGGGCGAGAAATCGTTCAATTGCTCTGTGTGTGAAGTCATTTGCAGTATCAATCTTCGCACTCACCAAAAAACACACTCGGGAGAAGCCATTCAATTGCTCTGTTTGTGTGAAGGCATTTGCCCGTAAGCAGATCTTCACACTCACCAAAAACACACGGGAGAGCCGTTCAATTGCTCTCTGTGTGGGAAGCCATTTTCACGGAAATCAAATCTTCATCGTCACCAGGAAACACACACGGACGATAAGCCATTCAATTGTTCTCCGTTGGAGAGGACACGGTCATCACCCCGAAACAAGCATAAGAAGATCCGCAATGATAGGAAAGTGAAATCAAAAGGAGAAATACAGAGTGCTGCAATGAGTCCTGAAAAAAATGCATCTTTCGAACCTATGCAGGTGGATCCTGAGAGATGCATGGATGTAATGAGTCCTGACGACAATTCCTATTTCGACCCCATGCAGTTGGATCCTGCGAGATGGCTGGATGTACTGAGCCCTGACGACAATTCCTATTTCGACCCCATGCAGGTTGATAATGAGAAATGGCTGCTGGAGTGGCTGGATAATCAAAGTACTGAGAACTTCTGTTAAAGTCCTGGAATGTGCACGTTTGTTTCTCTGTTAGATCAATGTATTAGGTGCAATTGATAATATCAGTGATTTCCAGCACTACTCCAACCTAGTGTAATTATTTTAACAAAACCGTTTGATTGCTCTGTGTGTTGGAAGCATTTTCACAGTCAGTAACACTTCACAGGCATCATCAAACAAAGAGTAAAAATGTTGTCATGAGTCCTCAACGAAATTCCTCTTTCGACCCCATGCAGTTGCATCCTGAGATATGGCTTGATGTAGTGGAGTATTCGTGTCTCATATATATTTTTCGGTGATTTCTAGGACTTCAAGCTAGAGTGATGTTGTGAATGCTCTATAATGTGTTCAGATGAATGTCTTCCTTTAAGTTCCAGAAGTGTTCACGGATTTCAGAATGACAACAATTTTATACTTTGGACGAATGGCTTCAGTCGAAAAGGACGTCAAAGAGGAAATCGACGTTTACGTGTTTGATTTTAAGAATATATTTTAACTGTTGAATTCCTATTGGGAAATAATTTGCCTAGTTCCTTTCCTGTTTGAGCATGCGTATTAATAAAGATTTCGATACGAGTATTAACGTGAGCTTTCTTGCAGATTAATAAAGACCTGTTTTTAAAGATGACTGATCGTACGTTATTGCTACCATAGTTTTCCTTTAAAAAAACACGGACGAGTAGACATACACACACGAGTGTGCATCCAAACACGACTGTATATACAGCGGTGTGCATTCACACACGAGTGTGCATGTGTTTCTACGCTGTTTTCATTCATTTCGCACCACGAGCGGGGAGTCTCATCCCTGTAGTTCCCTGTTGTGGTGGCGCATTCCTACCACGTTGCCCCTCAATTATTTGTACGACACAATATAAAAATAATTTGTTTGTTCCAATACATAATCATACACGAGTACACATACACTCTCATGTACACACACCCACACACGAGTGGACATACACAGCAGTGTAAGTACAAAGGGATTGCGTTCGACTACGCGAACAAATGGCAGAATTTTTAATATAAAACACTCGTTTTCTAGAAACACCCCGCTCAACACGATTGTACTTAAATATATTTATAAAACAAAGTCAGTACAGTATAAACTTGCACATCTTATTCCAAATCAAGCTCGAGATCACCAATTTTGATACTTCAGACTGTATGTCACTTTATCATCCTCTAAACTTGCAGCAGTTTAGAGGACATTGGGGGGTGAATATTAGCAAATTAACACGAATCATGGAATTATGCATAGAGATGCACATCCGTATTCAAACGGAAGTGTACAATTATTCAGTGATATGTACATACGTATTATGTTGCTAGATATGCGGATTGTTAATGTAAAAATTAACAATTGAATGCAAATTCCATAATAGGCCAAGTCGAGAACAAAGAATTTGGATGCTAGAGCGGAATTATAAAGGGCTTAAAATCAGACCTCAAGGGCATTTCGAGAGGGATTTTGATGAGCATAGACGCTCGACTCCCCGCTCTGCAGATAACCCTTCTTCCACGAGACCCAGCCTGGCGAGCACGATTGCTTGGCGACTGGTTGGGGACTTTGCTTCGGGAGAGTTCGTGGCGATCTCTTCAGACGGGTTACAGGGACATCGATACGCCGTGCATCAACAAGTAAGTGTCTTTGTTAGTGGATAAACTGGTAATCGCGTGTGTATTCCGACTTCCGAGACGTTACTGTGACTCGGTTAGACGTTAGTGAGAGTTGCTTTTTGGCGATTTGAGCCAGACATCCACGAAGTTTCTCTGCTCTGAAAAATCAGTCACATGGAGCAGAAAAACTCTCCACAGCGGCACGCACACACGGGTAAGAAGCCATTCAATTGCGCTGTGTGCGGGAAGGCATTTGCAGATTCATCAACTCTTCGCAATCACCAAAAAACACACTCGGGTGAGAAGCCATTCAATTGCTCTGTTTGTGTGAAGGCAT